AACCAAACAAAATTTGTTATTTTCTACTTAAAAAATATCAGGTAAGCTTTTCCGCTGTGGCTGATCGGTTAGAGGTACTACCACTCCTTAGGACCTTGGTTCGATCCTCGGTCCGAGCAACATCTAAATTTAAAAAAAGTTTTTTCTCACAGCGTTGGCTCCTCGGCAGGCTATGGCAAATGCATCCATTTGTTTTAAATAAAACATAAGGATGCACACCCAAACACGTAGCAAAAATGTGAGCGCCAAAGATTCATTATTATTACAAAATTTGCCTTTATTGCCTTAAAAATTAAATTCAATAAATAGTCGGAATTCCTGGCGGAAAATGATCAACGTAAAAGTTTTAAGAGTAAGTGCTAACAATGTCATATTATAATTGAAAGTGCGTTTTTGACATTTTCTTCTCTGTATTAAAAATATCAGCTTCTGCGTGGTTTACATAGTTATATTTGAATTTCGAAGAGAGTATAAGTATAAACTTAATTCCTGTTTAATATTTTGAACACAAGAATTTGTCAAGAAAAATATGTTAATTTCCGAGCTAGCATTGTAAACCCTCCCTAAGTATTTTAGTAGCAATAAGTGAGGAGCCTTATGGTGTCTTCAGAAAGGCGGTGTGACAATTTTTTTCTTTTCATTATAACTTTTTAAAATACAAAGCTTAAGGTAGTAATTTTTAACGGAAATGAAAATCCTTTGCATGGAATAAACTTCTGAAGTATTTCAACGATTTATATATACATACACTAGGAAATGCCTGGTTTGCTTCGCGACGCCTTATAAGAACATTAACGGTTTATAGTGTAAAAATTATTAGTTTAAGTAGAAAAGACTGAAGTTAAAATTTGGATTAAGTACTAATCTCCTTCGATGCTATGAGCTCGTATTTCCACCTGTGACATAACTGCAAGTATTGCAAGGTTTGCCAAGAGTGCGTAATCTCCGTTTAAACTCCTGCTGTTTCACACAAAGAGTTTTCCCGTTCAAACGGGGTCATTGATATTCCCACTGTGTTCTTTTTAATTCGTCACACTCCTACTTGATATACCGATGATCCGTTGATGTGTCTAGGACATCTGTGAAGCTTAAACATTTTTGCGCTTCTTTGTATTCATACTTAAAGGTTGGGGCTTTATTAAATCACCTAGAAAGTAAATTTGCAGACGGGTATTTAAATATCTTGATTCCAGCGCCATCTATGTTTTGGGTGCATTTTTTTGCAGAAGCACTTTTTATCATAAGGTCAATACCCGTTAATCCAGGTCGTACGATATAGATAGGTTCTCTAAATAACTCGACCCTGGCGCCATTTGTCGGCAATATTTTTTGCAAAAGTATATTTTACGATGCAGAGCAGAATTTCAAATTTATGTGACGTTAAGGCTGATCAAAAATTTCACTTCTATAGTATGTGCCACGCTCATTTTACAAAAATAAATCTTCTTTGCAATAAACATCTACCATAGATATGTATGTCAACACACCAAATTTCCAAGTCATGTGACTTACGGTTTCGAAGTTAGAGCTTCCATGCCCAGTTGTCAGATCCCACTTTTCTATACCCTATGTTATGTCCGAGGTCCAGATACCATTTAAAGCCTTATGAAATTTTATTAAGTCGTTCCGGAGATTAGTGATTTTAAACAGACAAACACTTTAAATGTCAAATCAGGAATTCAGTGAAATCCCCTACAAAACACGAAAATCATGGCCCGAGAGATGAATTTCCCGCAAAAATGCAAGAGTGAAATTATTTATTAAAAAAAGCTTGAGACTTGGGGCTCTCAAACGTCGTACCGCACATTTTTTGACTGCAGTTTTGAAAGAACTAGGATGGAAAAATGCAAACATCGTTTGGTGAGGCACGTTGATAACTCAGAGGGAAAAATCTTGTTTACCCATGAAAAAACGTTGACCGAATAGGAATAATGTAACAAACAAAAAGATAGACGTTATGAACGGTCATCAAAGGAAGCATCTTAACTGATTCCATGGGTCGCAAGGGGTTTTCACCTAGCTTTAGTCATAGTTTGGTAAGGTGTTTCTTTCCATTCGGTCACTGTTTTGCATTTCCGTGAAGAATAAGCGAGCATTCATTTCCTCTACAGTGGCTCTCTGGTAGGACTGATGTGAACACACAGGATTGCAAATTGTGTACATTTTTAGAGTATTTGGTTTGCCATAAAGCATGCACCAACATGTATTCTATTAAGAACCAATGAAAGCGGTACGTGCCGCTATTTATAATTGGCCAGGCCGACAATTAAATATTTCCTGTTTGTATACAATATATGTATAGGCATAAATAAATACGTAAAATTGGTCCTTAAAGTTACTTTTAATTTTACAGCCTAAAATGTGTGTAGCAATATCTATGGCCCTGCTAATTAATTTCTTCCAGAAACTAATGGAAATTAGTCAAAAAACTGTTTCTGGACAAATTGTGTGACATATTGTTAAACTTTAAAAACCCAAAAGCAAAAAATATTAAGAATTGTAGCAACCAACGCGCAACATATTTGCAATACGAGGCGGTGTTACTCGTCGGTATCATTAAATATTGTCATGATTTTGGTTGTTGCTGCTTAGGGAGCATATCTTCATATTTTTCTTTTCTTACCGCAAGAGACTCATAATAAATTATACCTAAAGCTTTTAAAGGCACCATCGCTATCGCAACCGTCGTCTTTGTGTGAATCTTATCACACCCTGCTGTGTCTAGTTTATACTCGCGTCGCAATGTTGGCTGTCTGAGGTAACCCGAGTATATGCCTGTTGCTTGCCACTGTTCCGTATGTATGCGTGTGTGTATTTATGTAGCTACCGGTGTTGCCAGGTTGACGATTTGGTCGTCATTTTGAAAATTTTTTACTGCCATAACGATTTGACGATTTATGTGACCCAATGATGATTTTTTTTTATGTGAAAATTTGGCTGGCTCTCAACTTTAAAGCACAGTTTTGAAAAATGCATTAATGGTACTTAACACGATAATGCTAAAGTAAATAATGAATACATTACTTTTTTAAATTTAATGCGAATAAAAATTTCAATGCATTAATTCTGAAAAACATAATGCTAATGAAATTTATCTTCATTAAATTATCCAAACTAATGCTATTGAATAAATTTTAATGCTTTAAAGTATTTAGTTACTTTGCTCGTTTGCATTATTAAAAACCATTAAGTTTTTTTTCTAGTGGTTTATAAATAATCTCTTCGGCAAGGACACCGAAGAATTGCTAATAGTTTTTTCAGCTTCATTCTATTATGTTTATTTGTAGAACAATTCTTGTAAACATTGTTGGATGTTTTACGAAAATAAAAGCAATGTGCTTGTAACTCGGTGTGCTTTCGTAGATTTATATGTTGATGGTTGATGCATAGCGATTATATTGTGGGCCAAAAATACGGACAGATAGCCAGTTTAGCAGCAAATGTATACGCTTGAAGACCTATTCTGATCGAAATCAATCAATAAACCGTTTTTACCTATTTGACGACAAATTCCATTGACTCGGACATAGTGAAAACCAGACTTAACTTCCGTCACTTCCTTTTTTGACCTCAAAATTCTACCCTGAACATCAACATAGAATTTTCGCTTCAAAATTAAATTAGTTAATGGGTTTTTAATGCTTGTTATACTTCTAATTCAATAAATGATTGCAATAGCATTCATTTACAAAGTTTAATGTTAATGCAAAAAAAAAATTCATTAGCACTATTTCCTCGGAATTAATGCATTGAAATTTTCATTTACACTAAATTAAAAAAATGTATGCATTTATTTTTACATTAACATAAAAATGCCATGCATTAAAAAATTAACAAATTTTTCACAACTCTGCTTTGAAGATAGTTACGCAGACAGCTAAAAATTGCAGTGCCATTGAGAGTTTACAATTTCTGCTAATATATAATTGTTGCATCGAAATTATATCAGGTGGCAGCACTAATAGTAATTATCGATAAGTAGTTTTATTCTTCGTTTTATCACTATTTCTGGAGTTTTTGGCGGTCAAATTCGTAATTTTGGCATTGTGACCTTGTATAGTGGTACATATTTCATTTAGCGAAGGGAATTATGTATAAGTTTTTTAGCAAAACTTGTAACTATGCACAGTTTTTAATGCACGTCGTTAAGTTGCAGTTGGAAAAAATGAAGATGAAAATTTGATTGTATGTCAATTAAAAATATTTTTGCTAAAAGTAATGCGAATTTTAAAAATTCGTAAAAAAGTTAAACTTTTTATTTTTTACGTATAGCAAGCATAAGCTAGAATAGAATGACGAAAAATACTAAAAGAGCTTCCTGGTTCTGTTTATTAAATTTTTTTTATATGTTGTCGATTTTTACATGCAAATGACGACTTTTGAGAACCAAACTGATGATTTCTCACTACAATGACTTGGCAACACTGGTAGCTACCCTACAGCAAAATTTAGAGACAATCTGGCAAAGCGCTAGTTCCAGGCAGACGGCTTGAAAAAATGTATCGTAACAGAAACCTAAAATGGATCAAATGTATCACAAATTTTTTATTTAAGTATCAAAGTATCAAGTTAGAAAATATTTAAAAAAAATGCTATTTGGTTTCATACCTTTGCTTTTTATAATTGTCAATATGTAAAATTCCTGTCTATCATTTACGTTAGTTGTCAAATTATGTGCTACATTCCACGTTAACTTGTTTGAAATTATCTCAGAAAGCAGTGACGCTCCACTTTGTAGTAAATTGCCATGTTAATAAAGACAGTTGAAAGTAGGCTTGGGTAGTTCTTGAACTAAATGAACTAAAGAACTAGTTCATCTCAATGAACTAGCTCACTAGTTCGGTCTTTTCATTGAACTACATTTTTCACTACTAGTTCTGATTTTGGATCACGATCCAAATACTGACAATAAATATTGAACATGTAGCAGGCGCCTTATACAATTTTCCCAATTGTTCAAAGATACAAAAAATCTTGATATGGCAATCCTTTTTTTTTTTGTACGCCAAAAGCAGATTTCACGGAAATATTTTCATTTGCATATTGTGTATTTGTGTCAATTGGAGATATAGAAAGTAAATTTATTATTATACAATATCGAAAATTTTTATTGACTAATTTTTACTATGTGCAGATGATTGGAATGAGAAAGCGGAGTGCAGTATGGTCCCACTTCATTGAAGTAAATGATAAGAAGGCAAGGTGCCGGTACTGCCAAATAAATATCAGTTTTAAATGTGGGTCGCATGGCAATCTACAGCGGCACATGAAAGCCAAGCACCCGTTCATCTCAATCGAGCACCAACAGTGTGAAGAGAGGCAATTGGAAAAGGAGTCAGCGCAGGAGCAAGGACAGAAAGCAACACAGGCAATGCGGGAGTTATCACAGCCAGAACCAGCACAGAGAACGAGCGAGCAACATACTGTGGCTGAGCAACCAACAATTTCACATTACGTAGATAAACCATCAACGGGCAGAAAAGCTAAACAAATCGACAAGCAGCTCGTCCAGATGATCGCAAAAGGGCATCATGCACTACGAATCGTGGAGGAACCAGAAATGAAGAGGCTGATTCAAATGGTGTCACATTGTCCTAACTACCAACTCCCATGCAGGAAAACAGTTTCTGAAAAAATTTTACCACAAATTTATGAAGAATTACTTGCCAAAGCAAAACGTAAGGTTTCCGAATCAACTGCAGTATGCCTCACTACAGATGGGTGGACGTCGCGTATTAACGAGCATTTTATTGCTGTCACTGCACACTTAATAGACAAAAATACAAATCTTTGCTCCATTTTGATCTGCTGTAAGCAATTTAGCGAGAGGCATACCAGCGAAAATTTATGCAACTTTTTAAAAGAAGTTATGACTGAGTGGCAAATTTCACACAAAATTGCAGCTGTAGTAAGTGACAATGCCCCAAATATAATAAACGCTGTTCGACTAGGAGAGTGGAAGTCAATAGGTTGCTTTGCTCATCTTCTCAACCTGATTGTTCAACATGGAGTTGCAGAAATATCAGATGTTTTACATAAAGTAAAAGCAATTGTGGAGTTTTTTCAACCGAAGCCCACGCGGACTTCAAAAACTTATGGATGTACAAAGACAACTGAATTTATCTCCCCTGAAGCTGAAACAAGATGTTTCAACCCGTTGGAATGCGACATATGATATGCTTGAGCGCATTTTAAAATTGAAGGAGGCAGTGGTCACCACTATAGCACTTCTGCGTTCTGATCTCATCATTGACCAACAGAGTTGGGAAATCATAGAGGGGGCTTTGCTTCTTCTTAAGCCTTTTTATGAGGTTACCATGGAGATAAGCTCAGAAAAAAATGTTACATTGTCTAAAGTAATAGTGTTTAACAAACTAATTCAAAATTTTCTTTTGAAGTATTCATGTCAAAATGAAAAAGTAGTGGCTTTAAAAGAGTCTTTAAAGAGAGGTATGCAAGCTCGATTCAGAAATTTGGAAATGAATTCTTTATATGCAGAATGCACTATGCTTGACCCTCGATTTAAGCAAAAAGGTTTCAAAGACGAAAGAGCTTGTTCTGTAACTATTGACAATCTAAAACGTAAGATTGAGAATATTGAGACGACTGAGACTGAAGTTGGCATATTAGAAGTTCGCGCTACTAGTACTGCGGATGTAGGAATAGAAAGTAATATCTGGGATGAATATGATGAAAATATTAGAAATATTTCTACACCTGAAAATACAACTGCTGCTGGTTTGCGCGAATTGGATAAATATCTTAATGAGGATATTTTAAACCGCAAGCAGGATCCATTAAAGTGGTGGCACGAACGTAAAGACGTGTATCCCCATCTTTACAAATACGTTTTAAAACGCTTTTGCATTGTTGCTACTTCAGTTCCATGCGAACGAGTTTTTTCGGGGGCAGGGCAAATATTAAACGAGCGTAGAACTCTTTTAAAATCCAACAAGCTTTCTAATTTAATGTTTTTGCACAGCAATATGTAAGTCTTTACGTATCGTACATATGTGCATGCATATGTTTTTATTCTATGAATTTGTTAAAGTTTTTTTTTATAAAAATACTCGTTTATTTGTATTGTATTTATACGAAAACTCTGTAAGTGATTGATGTTAAAATGAAATAAGCTACGTACACAACAAAATATTTTTGTGTAACAACAATAATGCTAAGAAGATGACCATTAGTACAAATATGCCATCCAATGAAAAAGGCTGAATAATTTTTATAAGACTTAAGTTCCTAAACATACGTTTTTTGTGTATGTAAAAGTATTCTGTGAATTCAAATTACCAAATGTTTTGGTTTGTATGTAAAATAATAAAAATAATTGAACTTTGTTTAAAATAACGTAAATGTATTCGTCAATTGAATTAAATGAAATAGTGAACTAAATGAACTATAAGAACTAAAGAACTAGTTCACTAAGGTGAACGAACTGCAAGTGAACGGTTCACTCAAATGAACTAAATTTCCCAACTCTAGTTGAAAGCATTGCTTTGGGATAGTTGAAGAACCAGAACCCTTCCTTTTCAAGCTAGTTCGGTGCGAGTTACGAAACAGTTTATTTTGCTGCAGGGTACGAACAATGCTTCGCTCCCTTCTCACTGGTGTGCATGGCTTTGACTTTCACACACGATTTTAATTTAGACGCTTTATTATTTCAAACAAAAAATCACACACACACACACATGCATACACACTCATTATATCATTTAAAAGCATAAGTTAAGGCGCACCACGGCGGCTGTAAATTGACGCCCGCAATGGCGGTACCCAGCGAGTTGAATGCCACCACCATTTGCGCTGTCGCGCTTCTGCCAACAAAGACGACCATGGTGGCAGTAAATGATGTAAAGAAAACAAACTACAGCAAAATTAGCTACTTTATATAATATTGCGAGAATCATTGATGTTGCCGCTGAGCAGGATGCTCTTATTGCTGTTATTATTAATATATGTTTTTTTATTTATTTTTTTTTTTTTGCACTTTTTAATGATAACGATGAAGATGCATGCCGCTGTGACTCGATAAAAGCACAATTTTGTGTTTTTTTTTTAATAAGCCATAGTTAATGTGCTTAAGAATATTTTTGATTAAGAAATTTTACTAGGATGGAAGCGAGAAAAATTTACATACATCTCGCTACATTATCGATTTTTGTCAATCTGTTTGCTCGAATTTTTTGCGTTTCGCTTTCCTTAAACAGGGTAATTCTACTTAGTCAAAAAGAAGTAAGGTTTTAAGAGATATTGGTATTGGTTGCTATTCTCATAGGCCGGTAAGATGATGTATTTGAAAAGAATTTGCGGCATAGATTGTCAAGATTATACGAAAGTATAATCTAACCGGCAAAGAGATGTAACGACATTTTTTCTCAGAAATCTTATTTTTGATGTAGAAATGCATCTATTTAGATCAAAATAAAATTTAGAAAAAAGTTTCGCTCCCATCTTTTCGGCGGTGAGGGCTCGATAAATCTCGATGACAGTTTTCTTTGTTTTTTATGAAATCAGAAAATCATTTTTTGCAATGAGGGAGGATTCTAAAGCAGGGATCACACGATTTGTACATTTTGGTGGTGTTATCTAGAAATTTTGATCGAAAATAAGTTCAGCTCAATAAAAAATGCCAAAATTGCTCCACTCTGTAAGTGACAAAATATGCAAATCTTTACAAATGTACAAGTCGTATGATCCCTGCTTAATCGTATATTCTAATAAAAAGTAAAAGAATTTTTGTACGGTTTTTTTTCAAAATATGTATATACATGCATGTAAATGATTTTTTATTTTTTTTTTTTTAATTTGTCACATACACTTTTTTTATAAAAAAAAATAGTTTTTGAAAATATGCCATCTCAAAAACAAATTGAAAAAAATCACAATGGTAGCCCTGAGTATTGCGCAATATTTAAGTATAGTATCATGGGGTGCACTGTACAATAATTGGAGTTATGATTTTTTTACACCGAAGTTGAGTAAAATGAGTACGTTAGAAATTAACAATTGTTTTAAATTCTTTTTAGAATTTTTTTGAGTATGCAGTTTTGTAAATGAATGGCTAACTATACTGGGTACAAGTATTGTACTTGAAAATTATTGAAACTGCAAATTGAGTTCAAACATTTCTGAATACCGTTAAATATTAATAAAACTCAGTACTTTTTAAATCTATTCGACACCTAATACTGAGTAATTTGAATCGATCCTGAGTACATGTATCAAAGCGATTATTGGAGCAGAGTATTTTTGAGTACTGAGCACTTTCGAATTCCTTTTTTGAGTAGATACTGAGTACTTTCGAGTTCTTTCGAGTTCTTTTGTGAGCACTGAGTCTTTTCGAGTACTGAGTATCGATACTTTTAAAAATCGGGTGCTATCGATCCTTTTGAGAATCGAGTTCTGAGTACTTTTGGTATCGATACTGCCCAACATTAGTTACACTGCTTTACAGCAAAAATGTTCAATGGATGCCACTATCCAATTTCTATGTAGAATTTCTCGGTGACTCCGAAATTGGAAATAATTTTTTTCTATCGATACGTTTTCGAGATATTTGCAATTTACCGTTATTCAACTTAAAACAAAAAGTGAGAAACGGCAAATAGTGGATTTTGGAGAACAAAAACCAAACTTAAATTTGTGAACTAGTGTTACTATTATTATTAGACCAACTTTGGCATAGATATCTAACTTACGCGAAAATATATTGCCATCCTTTTCAGAAGAATCGACGTTATTTAATCTGTCTAGTACTTTAATTTGTTTGTAGAAGTCCACATTCAACTTGGAACGTTTTATGTTTGTATGAATTGTATATTGGTCTGTTTGGGTGAAATGTTGTAATCGATTTTTAACCGATGAGCTAGAGACATAAAACTTCAAACTTAGCTCATTCACGCTATTCTTACAATTTAAACAGTTTTTATGGTACACCGACAGCGAAAATATTTTTTGCTACAAACTTTCAAAATTTCGCACACCGGACAAGTTCATTTGGTAGGACCTTAACACGCCGGCAATATATATGGCTAGCTTTACATAGTACAGAACGAGGAATTCACATTCACAAGTTCAAATTTTTGTAATCATTTCCGTAACATCTTCATTCTCGGCTCAGCACATTGTTTACCACCACTCTGCCAAGCTGCTTACTCTACCAAATGAAGCTGAAGCTGTGGGTATAAGCTAAAGTACTCGTTTTGCCTTTTCAGAAAGTTTTTTTGTTTTCAACGTTTCACTAATTTCCATTTTTGTTTTACCCTTTTTTCTTTCTGTTCGGTTTGTTTGTTTATACGCGCTCTCAGATGTTTGGTAAGCGGCTTAAATGCGCGCATTTGTTGCTTGTTGTTTATTTTATATCTTAAGTTTGCTTACATTTTGCTTTAGCAACAGACATCCGCGCCTAAAATTATTTTGCATCTTTTGTTTTTTAACTTACATTTACAGCAAATATTTGCACTCCTTTCAATTTGTAAGGGGGGTTATCAAATGGCAGATGAGCGTAGTGGTCGATTGAGTTGACGAGTGTATGAGTGAAAGCTTTGATGCAACCTTTTTTTTTGGTTAAAAGCTCCATTAGTACTTTTGCAAACATTGGCATTACGCAATCGAAAATGCGGCGTAGACAGCTAATTCCTTTTTATGCTAAATGCTTTTACATTACCTGTAAGCGAGTGAGTAAGGCTATATAAACACATACAAAATACACAAAACAAAAGGATGCTTTGCAGACGCGGTTGCCAAGTTAATAATCTGTAAAGAGAATTTTTTAAGGTAATTAGCGTTGAGCTATTTACACATTGGCTAATTATTATTTATGGAAAATTTTCGATCTTGAAAGGGGTTCTTACCTAATAAATGCCAAAATATGCATAGCTTTTGAAGGCAAAATCGAAAGAATTTTTGGCTTAGAAAAAGTTTTAGTCTAATTTTCAACGTGATAAAACTATTTGTGCCTATATTAAATTATAACATTACAATTATAATTTTTGATTAAAATCTTAGTGAAATTAATTTATAGTTGATGGGTAAAATATTTAGGTGTTTTCTTGAAATAAAACTTAATGCGGTTGTCAATGTAAATACTCCAGTCTTTTAAAGTATTTCACCAAAAGTAATGATAAAGATAAACATACATATATTTTCATGGGAGACATACAAACA